CTATATATATATATATATATATATATATTTACAAACAATGCTTCGGTCATGTAAGTTCCAAGAACAGGATTCTTGACTTAATCAACATTTTTAAAAATGTTACTACTTTTCTTGATTTGAAACGATATTATGCTTTGCAGTACAAATATTAGTAGCTTATGTGAGATTCTGTTTTTGGTTTGAGAATTTGTCACTACTTACCTGAAAAATATAATTTTATGGTGACTGAAATTAATATGATATATTATCATAGTCGCTATCGTGATATGTTCCTGATTTAAGTAGGAAGTCGTATCCTAATAACACAGCCTTCAATTAAAAAGGAAGTCGTATCCTGACAACACAATCTACAGTTAAGATGGAAATCTTATCATGATAACACCTTCTTGAGTTAAATAGGATTTTTTTATCCTGACAACTCTTTCTTGTGTTAAATAGGAAGTCGTATCCTGACAACCCAACCTTCAGTTAAGCTGAAAGGTTTATCCTGATAACACTTTCTTGAGTTTAGTAGGAAGTTGTGTCCTGACAACTTCTTGATTAAGTAGAAAGTCGTATCCTGACAACACAACCTTGAGTTATATAGTAAGTCGTATCCTGAGAATACCTTCTTGAGTTAAGCAGAAAATCGCATCTTGACAACACCTTATTGAGTTAAGCAGGGAGTTGTAAAGACAACACCCAACTGAGTTAAGCATGAAGTCGTATCTTGAAAACACCTTTATGAGTTAAGCAGGAATTCGTATTCTGACAACACTTGATTGAGCTAAGTAAGAAGTCATATCCTGACGATACCCTCTGGAGTTAAACAGGAAATTATATCCTGACAACATTTCCTTTTTTCCTATTTCTCATTACACTGATCCTTTGCCATCAGCTTCAATTTTATCCCTCACCATGTTCAACCAGGATGTTGGATAGAAGATCCTTGAGTGTTTCATATTTTTTCATCTCGTACCTGTACATTTTATTCAATATAAATTGCAACACTCCATACATTGTAGTGAATGTTTTCTACCATAATGCATAACATAGGTCATAAAGAGAAACAGACAGCTTTAAGACTTAATACAATATATAGTTTTTTTATCGCCTCTGTCGATATGTATCTAAGTAGAATCATACTCTTGCGTGACCAAAATAAACCTTCAAGAGTGTCTCAGAGCTCCTATAACCTGTTGAGGAGATTGTTAGTGATGCACAGCTCCCGTAATGTGAATGTGTAGCTAATGTTGTCATCACTCTGCTCAATAGACTACATTAACAGTTGTTACAAGAACAAAGCTAGATTAAGGTTAAACGTTACAACTTAAAGATTATTTCCACTTTTTTATCAAAGAATTATAAAATTAATTATCAATTCATCATAAGCTCTGTGATTATTCTTGGAGCATGGGGTAGTAACACAAGGTTGTAGGTGGTCACTCTGACACTTCCTCTGGCTTGATACGTGTCACCATAAGGGATATTAACACCAAATAGTATTAACTCCACCAATTTCGGTAGTACATATGTTGAAACGATCATGTTGAAAACAGCATTGTAGCGAACTATGACACGTTTCCTCTTCCAGAACACTGTGCAGTAACCGGCTTAGCTGTTATTCGCTATAAATGAGCGCACCAAGTCTAAGGTACGCAGCTGATTGCGCCGATCGCAAGCCACCAATGGGACAATCCCATTTCCTTGAGGGTAGAATAGTGAAGAAGCAGCTTTAAGCAAGATAGTGGTTTCATATGGGCTTGTAATCTCTATGACTGTAGAAACAGCAATAGTATTCTGAGGTTACATTAGAACCGAAGTATATTACTTGATAAATAAGTCACGAGGCATCTGGAAAGCGTCAAATCTTTACTGATCAGTTTCAGTGTTTGGCAACTTGAACAACGAGGAATGCTAAAATAACTCTGCTACCTAGGAGTCTATCACAATTTACCTGGATTAGTTGCATAAAATCCAAACTACTTCATAAGTTTTCAAGTATGATATGACATAATATAAATATTAGCTGTTATCCTTAGAGTAAAAACATTTTATGGCTTTTAAATTACAAACTAACCTTTTTGTTTCCGTTTTGCGTGCATTTCATTGTTATGTTACTGAGGAGACAGTAGCACTGAATGCTGTTTAGCCACACTAACACTAAAAAGATTCAATTAAATACAAGTCTGAATTATTTTTATTGAATTAGCTTATATTAATATAAATACACGTACACATATTTGTAGTTAATCACAAAGCTATACAATAGACTGTCTGTGTTGTGCCCATCACGGGTATCGAAACAGGGGTTTTAGCGTTATAAATCCGCAGATTTACCGCCGTGCCACTGGGTGGGGCCTTAAAAATATAAACAAACATTTAAAATCACCCCTGTAAAACGGTATATTTCGTGAAGCTTGTGTAACATTGCAGAAGTAGACATCTTGGAAATTGTTAGAACTGTTCGAAATATAACGTGCATATACAGTTTGTTGAAAGGTCTAAATGTTAAGTGTTGTGTATCTGTTTCCAAACATATAAATTTTACGTTAGGCATTAGTATTAACACTTAAACTGTTTACTTATAAAACGGATAGAAAGAATCATATGATTTTATATAATGCATTTATGAAATCTAGATTTTATCATTGTAGTCATGCTACATCTTTTGTAAACAGTGGCTGAATATGAAACTTTAAGTCGAAAATTAATAAATAAAATATAATAATATTCTTTGGGATGTTCTACATATATATTATATATTACGAAAGTATAACACAGAGGATGTTGAATTTGGGCGATAACCTTTCATTATTTGTGGAGCTAAATTACCCAAATGTACAATTAAGCTAAGCTGAGAAAAAAAAACAAACAGAAAAGCAAAACATGATAGTTAAGTGAAATATACGTTAATGTAGTTTTTTGAAACTCAGAACAGTACGGATGCGTATGACTAATAAACAACTGTAAATACTGTGTGGTAAAACCTAAAAAACACAAGTAAATGATCAAAACTTTCTGATTCAAAAGTGAATAAATTCTTTGATTCGTCTGTACCGAGAGATAAACCCTATAATGACAATATTTTTGTAAGTAAACGAAAACTTGATTTACCAAAAATGTACTATATTTTACAGGATTTTTTAAAAGTCTTTAATATGATTCTTCGAAAAAATGAATGCATTACGTTTTTTTTTTACAATCCTTGTTATGGTCAATACTGTATGCGTAAAAAGTATATGAAATTAAAAATTCAAGCTGCATTTAAGAAAATAAAAATTAAAGATAAAAACCTAACCAAATAGTTTAGTGGTGCTTTGCATTTAAAATCTAAATTAAAGAGATCGATAAAGATATGAACAAGGGGTTGAGTCAAGGAGCTATCATATTCTGAAATAACTAAAATATATGGTATGAATTCGAGTTCTTGGGTGAGTATATAATACGCAAGAAGTAGAAATATTAGATAAATGTTTACCAATAAAATATTACCAATAATTTAAGTAGATACTTTGTGGAAAACATCTTTTTTTGTTTATGATATTAATTCATAATTTTATTAGGATTTAAAACTTTGCAAAATATGTTTCTGCGCTTAGGATGTACTGACTAGTGAAGGTGTTCCAATTTAGCTTCAACTGGGTTAGCGAACTTGTAATTTATACGTAGCTCCTGACGAAACTGCAATATTGAGCTAAAAAAGAAACGTTCTGGAGATATAGGAGGCTATTTTATTTACATTAATAGAAATGTCTCGTAATGAACTCCAGTTTGCGCTAAACAAAGTTAAGAGTAGTAAGTAGGAGCTTAAGAAGTGATAGGAGACAATAACTAAACGGGAGAGTACTGCATCATTAGAGACGGATACAAGTAGGAGATGAAGAAGAATGGTAAGACCACAGTTTAGAGAAAGCTTTGTCTAGCATACAATTCAGACTAAATGGTATATCTGCGAAAAAGAAGTAGAAGCAAGACCTATAGCTATTAATAGAAACTACAAAGTATTTCTTTT